TATTGGAGATGTGTAATAGTTGATCTGGTGGACACAAAAGGGGTTTGTTCCCTCTAAACCAGTGGTCTCAAATTTTTTGATTGTGTACCCCTTACAGTTAAAAAAAATTCTGAGAACACTCCCCCAGAAAATAGTAAGACATGGATCACAAAAGCTTGTTTTGTTTTTAAATGATAATACTAAGGTAGAAGATTTTAAGGCCACAGAGAGAGATTCTTCAGTATTCCCCTTTTGCATGCGTTCTGTCTCTGAGCTGCAATTTCTTCCCACCAAGTTAGCTGCTGAGAACTTGGCTGCTGCTCTCATCCCAGGTGGATAGCGGACTACCAGCTGTGATCAGGGAGTCTGAGGGTACCATTTTCATCTAGAAAGCAGCATCTCCTAGTCTCTGGAACTTCAAGACCTTGCAGGACATGATCTAAAACTCACTTTGCTGCTTATCTCGCAACTTTATATCTAATTTTGATGTAGCCTAGAGAGCGCTTAGAGAACTGTTATGTGTGCTAAATGAGTCGATTAAAAGCTGGACCAACATCTTTTCACAGAACAAAAGAGCATGGCAGTGGCTTCTTATGGACATAAAATTGTTTCTCCGTGTACTACTTACAACAAAACTTTACAGTGAAATTGTATTTTTAGTAGCATGGCTTGTTAAAATGGACATTTTGTTTTAAGTCAGTCACCACCATCTGCTCCACCCTCCGGTTTTATACGCACAGGCTGATACAAAAGATGCTTTGCCCGAGCGCGCTGGGGAGAACAAGACATGCTTTTAGTGGATCCTTTTGTAGTCTGTAGGCTGTACCTGGAATGCCTGCAGAATTCAGAGCCTTTTGCAGAATAGTGCTTGGTGCTTTTAGCTGCATATTCTCTTGACCTGGATACCAGTTTCCTGCATTGTGGTCGTTTTTGCTTCTGACAAGCTCTTGTCTTGTGAATTTGGGACATTTAGCTTAAAAAAAAAAAAAGTATATTTTTGGAAAGGAGATAACACAGCTGGAACTCATTTTCTGTTGCTTTGAAAAATGACTATAAGGTAAGAATTAGTTATTTTAGGGTTCCTCTAAGTTAGCCCTGGAATTTCAGCTCTTCCTGCCTACTATAAGGGCTGCTCTTTTCCTGCCTTTTCCCATCCAAGCAGAACCCCAAAGATTCTGCTCAAAATATTTTGGGTTTGTTGTTTTCTTAGTGGAATTTACTTTGCTTATCAGTCAGAGATTCATTCCTTTGCTAGATACTTCATGGTCAGCAGGCACTGTAGTCGGACTGATTTGTGGAGTTGGCATAGTAATTGGGTTCTTCTGTGAATGTGAGAGTCAAGTAATTTTCCTGTTTTGATACATAGCTGTCAGTCTTAAGGCTGTATTTCTCTCTATCTTGTAAAGTGAATGTAAGTGAAGTCCAAAAGTCTGAAATACTTAGCTCTGGATGGATGGATCTGATGTATCAACCTGCAACTTTGCCTAGTGCTGGATGTTGCTAAAGCAGATGGTATAAGAGTGCATGAGATCATTTGTCTTGGTACCTTGTTTTTAGAGGAAGGCTGTGAAAAATGTGGAGTCTCTTTTGCATTCTAAAGTCCCTGTAAACCGAGATGAATTGGGTGTGGAGGTCATCTTATTCTTTGCATCTTGGAATTCAGAGTTATGAACCATTCGTGTTTCCATCCAAAGCAAATGTGATGTCACACATTTAAGCAGAGTGAACTGATGGTGTATCATGGTTTATTGAACAATGCCGTCCTTGCTGTCCTTGAGGCTTTTGACCTTGTTCTGTACTTGTAGTAAAAATCTCCTTACTTTAAAAGCAATTGCTGCAGCTTGCTCTTTTGTCTCTCTAGGCTTGCTCTGATACGAATTACTGGCATCTAGCTGTAAGCTGAACGCAACTGATTACTTGCACTCGGAACTGTGTGGAACCGTTGGCCTTTTCCCAAACACCTCTCAGTTTAAAAGTAATGCCCCTTGTTCCCTTCTATTTTCAGGTGAATAGGACTTTCGGTAAATCAACTGACTTGCATGTGTACAAAGAGATGGAACTGGAAGCTTATGTTTGTGCACCTTATAAAGTTATTAGTGCTATTGGTCTCTGAGAATTAAGGGAACAATCCTATACATGCTAAAGATTTCTGTAAAGTCTTGCTTTTAAATCCTGTCCTGAAATGTTATTCTTAGCAACTTCCTGGAGTGTCTTAAGGAGCTGCGCTGACAATGCTAGTCGATTCTGACAGCTAGCTATGGTGGAAAAGCTGCCTGCAGGGCTCTTAGTTTAATATGAGCCAACGTAGTGCTGAACTGAGCAGCAACGGTAAAGCAGAGAGAAGCATGAACTCTTTCTGCTTCAATGGCAAATTGATGGGAAAGTCTCATGTTCTGGAGTTTCTGAAAGAACAGTCTCTAATGCAGTGATGGTAATTCCTATGGTGGTTTTGGCTTTGAAGCTCCTCTTGGGTACCGCTTTTCTGGTTGTGTTGGGTCTGGCATGACTGTTCACCTTTAGCAGGTGTACCTTGGGTAGTCCTTTTTGTTCCTTACTGTGTACTGCCTCGGTGGCAGCCATAATTCAGACATTTGTCCTGGCATCTTAATTCAGCATACATTTTCTTGTATGGTGAGGGGTAGTCTGGCAGACAGCACCTGGTTGGTGTGGGTTTATTCTTAACTGCCTGCACAGAGTACCTGAAAAAAAAAACCAACCCCAAACCACACCGCTTTGCCAATGTGCTTTTGTTCATAACACTGGAAGCTAAAGCTTCAGCATTATGGGATATACTGTTTTCTCCTGGGAGGCTTATACCTTTGGTTTAGTAGCAAAGCCCGATGGCTGTTTGTCTTAATACATATTCTACTTAGTTAAAAGTCTGAAAAGCCACACGCATTTTGAGCAGGGAGTACATACTTCTGGATACACAATTGTATGCTTGCTTCCTCTGCCTTTCACACTGCAAAATGCAAGAGCACTAAATGCCCTATGGATAAGGAGTGTGCAACCTTGACGGTCTGAACAGGGATAAAACATCTTGCCAAGAATAAACCCCTATTGGTGGTCATTCATCCTGAATCTTAATTCCTCACCACAAGGCATGCTACACGCAATAGTGTTGCCTTGCCAAGTGTTTTTCCTAATCCTTCCCCTTTTTCTTTGCAGGTGGCAGGACTAACGTTGCTGGCAGTGGGTGTTTACTCTGCCAAGAATGCCACGGCAGTAGCAGGGCGATATATAGAAGCACGTTTGGGCAAACCTTCCCTGGTGAGAGAAACCTCGCGCATTACTGTGCTGGAAGCACTGAAGCATCCTATCAAGGTAAAGTTTAGTTTTGGTTTTGTGTTGCGCTCAGCCATGAGGATGTAGAACTCCTTTTGTAGCTCTCTGTGTTAGGCAGGGAGCTGTCAATAGGTCTGTGAATAAACGTACTATTAGAGATGGCGTAGGTGGGCTGAGCTGACTGTCATTTCGTATGATATTTTGGTCCAGGTGAGTTGTCAAAACTGTTGTTGATTTCTACATGTCGCTAATTGAATTTGTCCTCTCTAGGTGGGTAAGCGTCTTACCAGCAAGGCTCAGGATGCCCTTGAAGGGGTTGTTCTCAGTGTGAGTACTCTATTTTGCTCTCTTGATCTGTGAAGGATGACTTGGAATCTAAATAAGAACGGCTGTTTCCTTACGCTCACTTCAAAAGCTGTAATTCTAGTAATTCTGGAGACATAGCACCCTTGGGGCACTGAGGCTGTAAATAAGCTCCTGTGTTCAGTGTGACAAGCATTAAGCACTCTGTTAACCTTTTTTTCCTCTGTTCAAAGCAGTTGGAAGTCTTAGTTCAGCCCTTGCCCTGCTGCAGTTTTTCTCTGTAGTCAGCACATGAATATACAGAGTTCCACTTGTCTCATCTGATTTGTTAAGGATTACTGGACCTAGATATGCTTGTGGGCCAAAAAGCCAAAGAAGCCTATGCGTTTGCTCGTTTTGTGAATGGCTCTTAACTTGCTAATTAGGGCTGCTTCTATATGTTTGCTTCTGAATTTGATTCCTGGATATCAGGCAAAGTTAAGTGCTCCGACTGAGAGAAAATGTTCCTGCAAGAATAGCTTACTCCTGATATCTCTACAAATGCAGTAATATGAATGTTTATGACTTACATGAAAGAATTAGTACTGCGAAGAGTTATGTTTTGACATATCCCTCCCAGGGCATCCGACACGAAGTGAATATTTAGGTGTTACCGGTTTTTATAGTGGTTACTACACTGCTTCCTGCACTGCTGCTTTGTCTTATGACAAGTGGACAGAACTTTAAATTGAGTAAATCCTGATGTAGAAGGGGAAATGACCCTGGTCTGAAGTAATAAGCAGCTAAGTTAAGGCTTAAGAGCTTGAGACTGTAGGAGTGCTGCCTACTTCTTTCTGGTACTGATCTGTGAAGCTGATACATACAGGTCTCTTGGTACTCTCTGTTCCTTAAATTTAACCCTTTTCTTCCAGCCACAGTTAGAAGCACGTGTGAGAGACATTGCCATAGCAACAAGAAATACAAAAAAGAACAAAAGCCTATACAGGAATATTCTTATGTATGGTCCCCCTGGCACTGGAAAGACGCTCTTTGCCAAGGTAAAACCCTGCCAAGATTCTGACTACCTGCATGTTGCACGGTGCTCTGAAAACTTCAGGATCTAAGCACCCTCCCTAGTCTGAAATCTATTGCTGTAGTATCACATAAACATGGTGTTCTTGTGTCTGTTGGGAAGGAGGAAAGGGCATCCAGCCTGCTTCAACTCTAAATTAGTACAGTCCCTTGGATTCTACTGCTAAGCGTAGGCAGAAGAGCCCTTCCATCTGGAAAAGGCACTTAGCAACTGTGACTTGTGAAATTGCAACACCAGCCTGCTGTCTCGTTTCCACCTCTGTTAATTTTATGCGCTTGTCTCAATAGGGTCTTTTCTGCTGTCACTTACTAGTCCCAGAACAGAGAAGAGAGAGGTGTGGCTTCACTGTGCATATGCACTACCAGGATGGTTTTTGCATGGATTTGAATCAGGATTTGATTTTTGACTTGATTTGATTTGATTCAGTGCTTGTCCACTAGATCTGAGGTTTCATATACTTCTTTAACAGTGGCGGATTTGACATACTGATGAAAGCTGGAATTTTTTTTCTCCATCAATACATTAAACCCATATCCCGATAGTTTTTTGCTGCCTGCTCTGACCGTATGCCACCTGGTTTGGATTTCTAAGGCCTGTAGAGAGGAACAGGTCTAGGAAATGGCAGCATAAGGAGAAGAAGGGAGAAGTACTAAGAGCTGAGAGGAGTGATTGGCAATGGAGGAAGAAGAAGTAGTTTATTAAACAGTCCAGAAGTTATCTCTTAACACTTTTCCCCAATAGCTTAGAAACTCCAAGGGGATGGTAGTTGTAGCTGTAAAAGATTGGAGTGGGCCAGAAGGAAGATGGATATAAGGGTGAGACCTGTATCCTCTAGAGAGGAGAGAATAGTATGCTGGGAAGCTGACAGTTTTCTGAGCTGTGCCTCTTGTACTTGGGTAACTAGCAGTGACAATACTAATTGCTATTATTGCTATTCTAAAAGGTAACATGTCACAGTGTGGTGGTCTTCTCTGACTCCTGCAGGGCAAAGACATGTATGAGTCTGGGGGGGTAAGTCGTGATGCTGTATGGCAGGATTCTTGAGACAGATGTAAACACACTTGGATGCAGCTGTCAAAGCTTCCAGCTTTGTTGGACTGGTAGAAAACACTAAGTGTTAGTAGCAGGAACTGGGTGGTTTTAATGGTTCCCATTTATTGGCTTCAAATCCTGGCGAAGTGTATTCTTGCAGGTACAGACTCTTGTGGCCTAATTCACCACTGAGATGTTGCAGTTTGATGGAGAGCAGGTTTAAGCTGGGAGCTTCATCACAATGTTACGTGGGTCTTAGTAGGCCTGTTTGGGCTGAAGTAGAGACGGGCTTTGCCAAGGCTGTAATTCTGTCCTGCAGTGACTTGACAGCCTAAGCAAACTTTGATCAGTGCAAGCCATAGGTTCTTCTGATGTACCTGGTTAATGTTGGCTGTATCCTGTCAAACTTGCTTTGTGGATAGACTTGCATTTTCTGTCCTAGCAAAAAATCATAGGGGATTTTTTTTTTTACCTGCAGGCTTAAGGGAGATATTTCTAGCATGTCCCAGGAACTTCATCAAAACCCTTTGCTTAGTAGTCACCGGACCAAAGGGTTGTGGCAGGCTTTAAAACACAAAGGGAAAATTCACTTATTTTGTCTGAATACTCATTGGGTTCACTGAGCATTTAATTCCAGGCTTTTAACTGTTTGGTTTTTTAAACGAATAAAATTTTATTTGAGTTGTATTAGTTTAAGTGTCTAGTAGAGAATAGAATCCTGTTATAAACTAGGCCATGAAGAAAACAGTGGAAGAAATAAACAATACAAAAGTTGAAGATCTAAGCACTCTCAGCCATGCCTTCTAGCATTAAAATTTCGTGCGTTGCCACAAGACTAAGCTTCCATCTTTCATTCCTGTTCAGAGCAATGCTAAAAGCTGCTCCTAAGTGACTAAAGAAGTATTCTCTTCTCTAAGAGCATACTTACCTTCTGCAAATAAACATGCTGATAGAACTAAACTACTCTCATTTCCCTCCTCATCTTTTGTGGTTTTGCAGTGAAAGAGAGTGCTTAACTCACTGGGGTTTTTTTGTTTCCTTCCAGAAACTAGCGGTGCATTCAGGCATGGATTATGCCATCATGACGGGTGGTGATGTTGCTCCCATGGGGCGGGAAGGAGTTACTGCCATGCATAAACTCTTTGACTGGGCAAACACCAGTAGGAGAGGGTAAGTAGAGGTTCCTCTGAATCCTAAATTGAGTTTCTTGCTCAGAGAAACTCACTGCAACGATGTAGTTCAGACCCATAATCTCTTGCATGATACATATCTTGAATGATACTCTTGCACAGATGAGGTCACACTGACCAGGCATGACACTTCCTCAAGTTTTCCTAGAATGGGTGAATTCTTGCTGCTTAGTAATATTAAAAAGGCTGAAAGCTTTTCCTCTTCTGCTCCCTCAAAGCCCTTGTTTACTTCAGATTTTCCAGATCAGTCATAGCTTGACTCTCTGCTTATCTCCCCACCTGCCTGGTGAGATATTGCCTGCTTGAAGGCTGGGACACATTTCTTTCAGAGTGATTGATTGACAATAGTTAGAAGACTTAGCACAAATGGAGGTGCACCAAGTGTTTACACTCTTTGGATATTATGTTTCCTGTTGCTGTCGCTCAGATTTTAGACTCTAATAGTGTTTGGATCCAGCTTCTTCTTTACTTTTGAGTCTGAAGCGGAAGTAGTGAATTATAAGAAATAAAAGAGGATAAGGGGGAGACAGATGCTAAAGGCATTAGATAGGTGTAAAAGTCACAAGCTGCTGTGCTTTTCCAGTCACCTTTAAAAGCGAACTTTTATCTACAGAAAAGCATTCATGTTGAGGCTAAATCCTGACTCCCTGATTTTGTAGGAGTATGTAGTTAACTTGTTTGTACTACTGTAAATGAATTTTTGCAGTCCAGAGGTAGCTAAGAACTTGCTTGTCCAGCCAGGATATTAAAATTCAATAGAGAACTTGCCGTGGATGTCAGTTTGGGGTTTTGTGCTGTTTTGATTGCAGGTCTTCTGTAAGTGTGGCTAACTGGTGATTTGTGTGTTCTCTAGTTGCTTTAGATGGACATTATCTTGCAGTGTCTGTTTTTAATCTTTGCTGCATTCATTATCTAAATGTTTCTATTTCCCCTTTAAAACAAAAACAAAGAAAACAAAAAACAAACAAAACCAAAACAAACAAACAAAACAAAACAAATATGCAAATATGCAGACGAAATGTCCTAAGACTTTAAACTCATGAAGCTTCTCCTACCCTGAGGAGCTGTAGAAGGACAAGTATAAGAATTCAAGTGAGCTTAGAAAAAGAAGTTGGAAGAAGTAGGATACTCAATTGGATGAAGACTGCTGGATGCCTTCCCCTAAAGAATTCTCTTTCACAGCACTGCCTAGGTCTGAATTTATTCCCTGTCCTGATAAAAAACTTCTTGCATTTGAACTTCATACACTTCAGATAGCCATCTTAGGAAAGTCATGATCAAAGGTTACATGTGCCCATATATATCAATATTTTAATCTCCAGTAATATTGAAGTATTTATACAGACTTTATTCTGGATATCCAACAATTTTAGCTGTTAGTACTGTGTTGTCTTTATTAGCTGAACACTTCTCTGCAGAGACTGTAGCCGAGAATGTTTTCGGAAAAGCAGAGTTGAGTAGAAGATGTTAATAGGCCCTGAAATCCCTTGAAAGAAAGCTGGTTTTGAAGCTAGGAAAGAAGGTAATACAAGCTGTGACAGCTTTATGAGCAACTTGGTTCTGTTATTGATTAACATCTTTATACATTTTTGTCTCTGGGGAAGAGCACTACCCTTGGCTTATAAGTGAATTTATTTTTGTGAATTATTCATTGACTTTATTAATTCACTTTTCCACAGGTGGTAAAACCGTTCTATTATTGCTAGTGTGGTTTGGAAAGGAAAAACTCCACAAAATAACAAAGCAATTTGCAGGATAGGACTCTGATTTGAGGTTTTCAGAATGATGTAAGGAAGAAAAATGGCAGGAAGTCGCCATTGTCACCAAGATTCCTTGTGTGCTTGTGTACCTGTCCTGTACCCTTGCACACATTTCCCTAAGTAAAAGGGAATGCTAAAGTAAGCACTCTCACAAATACTTGGAGAGCAGGTCTAAATTTCAAAGATCTACTCTGACTTGGCAGTAACATAGCAGCACTAGATGGAAGCCCATTGCCAAACCATGCCGATAAAAACTCCCATCTATATTTAAAAATCTGGAGGAGGTTAAGGTTGTGTGCCCTGGAATTGATTCTGTTCAGTGTGCTTCTGAACAGCAGGGAAACAAAACTCCAGAAGCCTGGAGTCAGATTTATGACCTAAGGTGCCTTAAACTATTACCTCTTTCTTAACTGTTGGGATGGGCTAAGTGCATGCAATGGAAAAGTTGCTGTAGCTTAGCTGAGAAATGTTGCCTTAAGGAGTGAATTTGCTTGTGTAATCCTTTGGGTTGAGAGCTGGTCGCAGGTATGGGTGCCTGGTAGTGGGACTGGAGAATCCTTGAGCCATTTGAGCCTCACTTACCTGTCTCCTGTTACTGTGTAGTGCTTTCCTTTTACAGCCTCTTGCTATTTGTGGACGAAGCGGATGCGTTTCTGCGGAAGAGGGCAACAGTAAGTACTTTCTCTGTGTCCGTTATCTGTGTGTGCTGCAGAGTTAGCCAACAGCCGCCTTGTTTAACCTGATTAACGAGCTTCAACAGGGAAAAGATTAAAACTGGCAGGTGCCTTACTGCTCACCTAATTAAGTGGTGCAGACACAAGAAATTGGCATCTTGAAACTTAATGGAATGAGCGTCTCAAGACTGACTTGAGAATTCCTCCCTGCAAAAGATGGGTGACAGTCTTTTTGGAGGTTTTGCAGGTGACTGGGCAGTAGGAGAGAAGGAGGCATATCTTGAAAACAAGAGAAGATTGTTCATACTGCAGAGCTGGTACTCTGCAGGATTTGGGTTTTGTCCCAACAGATATTTATCTTGGGAGGTTTTCGTAACAGAACTGCTTTTCGCTACGTTAACAAAGTTACACTATCATCTTCCACTGTACAAATGATTTATGTTTTCAAAATAAATCACCATATTGTACATTGAATCTGGACCTGCTACTTGAACCCCAACGATCTATTTAAAATTCTCTCTTTAGAAGATTGCTTTGAATGTGTAAGTGGATTCTTCGTGGCTTATTTTCCTATAAGTATCTTACTGGACTTCCCAGCTAAAATAGTCTTCAGCAGGGAAAGCTGCCTGGGCCAGTGGTTAGAGCCTTGGGTTTGAAATCAAGAGAATGTCTGAATGACTGTGGGTAAATATTTGATCTCTCTGCTGGAAGTTTTAATTCCTAACCTTTTTCCTGGGTATGTAAATTGATCCTTTTTTTCCAAGGTATTACAGTGCTTTGGATTCTACCGTAATGCAAATGTTTGACAATTACAGAACTCACTTTGCCAATAATGCTGCTTAAAGCTGTGACCTGTATTGGGTCTCCAAGCAGTTAATCTTTTTTGGATTTTATCTTTGCAGGAGAAAATCAGTGAAGATCTCAGAGCAACTTTAATTTTTTCAGAACAGGGCAGCACAGCAACAAGTAAGTTTCAGCCCTTACAGCAGTTCATGTTTCCCTGAATTAAGGAAAATCTGTAAAGGATCTGTGGCGTGCAAATGAAAGCTGGAAACGTGTGATCTGTGCTACTAAAGACTTGGAAAAAACAATCTGCATAGAATATCCCCTTTTCAGTTTATATACTGAATGTAGCTTGCTCCTCCTTTATCTTTTCCTGGGACCTGAAAATTAGAACTCTAAAGGGCTGTACACGGGTAGAGATCAGTACTTGTAAAAAGGGTGTTCCTTTGGCCCACGTTGGCAGATGTGCACAAGGGATCTTGAACTGCCTTTCAGGACAACGCGTCCCCTGTGCTTATGGTGTGTGGTGGTGAGCAGTTCCCTTTCATGTCATCCGTCCTGTGTGTGGCTCCCCTCCAGCCCTGTAG